CGAAAAATCAGTCACATGGAAAGTCAGTAACTCTATTGGGGAACGCTTCGAGGAAATATTTTGCGGTTGCTTTCCATCCGTAGTGCTATGCTAGTCACCTTAACGCGTGCAAACAGTCGCCAAAATGAAGGATTGATTCATCTGTACATATGATATGTTGTGATATATCAATGGTTATAGATATAGGAATTATTTCTGGGTGAAAGCGCTTAAGATGGCATTCTAAACATTGAAAAAGGAAAAATTGTAATCAATGTTTGAAAAGGAAATCGGGTCCTGATCGTTTTACATAGCCTTTGCCCTCTCTACCTACTCGCAATATCCAGTTTAGCACCTCCCCCTGGGGACCTTGGCCTCCCATTGGTGTATATAGACCCCCTTCACCCCAGTCGTAGACCTTAGCTGTGTCGGACAATCTCTGGTACTCCCTAATATGCTTGAGCGCGCGCGTGTGTATTTGTGCGTGCGCGCGTGCGTGCGCGCGTGCGTGCGCGCGTGCGTAAACTTGGCTGCAAGCGGAATGTAGAACGCGTATATACTTATATAGGGTGTGCCACCTGCATGCCACCTTTTCATATGGCTTCCTAATATGAAACCTTATTATAGAAGACTGCTCGAAGAAGCCTCTATTGCTCGTAATTTGCTCACTGAATGCAACCTGAAATGTTAATAACATTATATATTGTTCTCGCCTAACTGTGGACATGTGGCCAATAAATACGATACATTACATGTAGACGCTTGCTGCAAATATTTTCTATATATTGCTTTATATTTTCTGCATATTGTTCCCACCTAATTGTGTACATGTGGCCAATAAATACGATACATGTGTGGAGACGTTTGCTGCAAATATGTTCGTTACGTTGTCTTGAAATTCTCAACCTGTGCATTTTTAGCTCGCCTTGACATCTTCAAGCTGAGCTATTGCCATGGGGCGTCGTCCGTCGTACGTCCCTCCGTCCGTCCGTCCGTCCGTCCGTCCGTCCGTCGACATTTGGTTACGGTCAACGAAAACTCAGGAACCGTTTGACTCATATATTTCAAATTGCATATAGTTGTTACTCCTATGGGAGAGGTTTGAACGTCCTAGTCCCTATTTTGGAGCACGCAGCGACCTACTTCGAGCGACGTGCCACTGTTTGGCAAAGATGGAAATGGCCATAGTTCAGTTCAGGTTGAACGGATTGCTCATTTTAGTATGTTGATAAAAAAAGGACTGGCCCCAAAAACATATTCATCACAGGTTTTTTATTTTTATTATGCAAATTAGGAGTAGATTTGACAATTTCCACTATGCATATCAGTGCTCTGCCGTACGGTTCAACGCCATCAGATTGATGCCGACAGAACTGAAACATTTATTTTGCGCAATCAAAAATTTCTATTATCATCATTATCAAAGAGTATATAATGGGAGATATGTATATAATGGAGTTACCTCTAGATGATACTCTTGCTTAATGTCCCGCCTCGTTTCGTAGATCACACCAAGGTGAGCTACAGTGTCATTGACGACTTTCATTATCGTATAATGTGACGTCTCATTTTCGCAGCAAAGCAGAACTTTTCTGTGCGGAATGCCATTGATGCTCTATCTCGCAAGTGTCTGTAATTTCATTGCAGAACATATATCACGTGCAAGCCACAAAACTACATATGCAAACGATGTCACAACCAGTCAACAAGCTTCATTCACTGCCACCAGAGGTGCAGCAGTAGCGAAGCAATGACGGAAGATCTGTGAGTCAGCTCGATGGAGAAGGCGCTCATGTAAGCTTCTGCAGCTGTTAAGCCTCCTCTCTCCTCCCCTCCTCTCTCTCTCTTATCTCTCTCTCTCTCTCTCTCTCTCTCTCCTCTCTCTCGCTCTCTCTCTTCTCTCTCTCTCGTCTCTCTCTTTATCATCGGCATCTCTCTCTCTCTCTCTCTTCTCTCTTTTCTCGCTTTCTCTCATCTCTTCTCTCTCATCTCTCTCTCTCTCTCGCTCTCTCTCTCCTCCCTCTCTCTACTTCTCTCTCTGGTCTCTTCTCTCTCTCTCTCTCTTCCCCCTCTTTCTCGTCATTCTTCTCCTTCTCCGCCAATCTCTACAATCTCGTCTTCCCTATCTCCCTATATCTCTCTTATCGCACAGACACGATTGTTACAGCCTCTTCCATTGTCACATATCGGTACGCTTTATTATGCCATAATCTAGCCCCATACGCAAGCATAATGTAGATTTATATTACTCCTGAATCCTTCCATATATATGACAACAAGCCATGTATAATAAGGTTCGAGTAAAGTGTGAAATCTCATTATCGGCAGGTTACCTTCTATCGGAGTGATAAACTACATAACTGATCACTTAGTTTACGTCAAACTACCAAAGGAAATAATTCGTCTAAAATAAATAATAAGCGTCTAATTAATATACGGTCTAAAATGGAGAATACGTCTAAAAATACTAAATAATAGCGTTTATTCACCAAAGGCTAATGTCACTTTAGAGGACAAGTAGGTTCGATTATATATCGTATCCGCCGCACACAATGAAGCCGTGTATAGTATTGGATGCGCAATTCTGTTTGACAGTGATTCGAAGGTGCTCTAGTTATTGAGCAGCAGTCACCCGATGACCGCCGCCACGCATAAAACCAGAGTGCTTGTAGACATTGATCGATGCCTCCAGGTGATGTTTGATCCGCAACGTGACATACATACGTAACATGTATACGAGTGCGTGCGTGCTGGTCGTACATAGCGTAGGTGTACGTAGCGTGCGTGTACGTATGTCGTGGTGCGTGCGTGCGTGCTACGTAAGGTGCGTGGTACGTAGCGGGTGCGTGCATGAGTAGTGGTGAGCTACGGTAGTTAGGTGTGCGTGCGTGGTACGTAGCGCTAGGCGGCGTGCGTATGCGTGCGTGGCGTACGTGAGCGTGCGTGCGTATGCGTGCGTGGGTTACGTATGTAGGGCTGCGGCGTGGTACGTCGTAGGTGCGTGCGTGCGATACGTCCCGTAGTCGCGTGCGTGGCTACGTGGTAATGTGGTGCGTGCGCGGCGTTCAACGATGCAACGCGACGAACACGAACGCACGACCGCAGCATGGTAGTATCATTATACCGTGTCCCAATCTTGATTATCGACGCAATGTAATGACGTCAGTATTCTCACGCGCAGGCGCCGCCGCCGCCGCCGCACCATTTATATTATCGCTTCTTCGATATTTCGGCTCTCGCTCGCGCGGCGTCGCTTGCCTTTCTTCCTCTCGTTCTCTCTCTCAGTCTCTCCTCGTCCCTCTCTCTCTCTCACTCTCTCTCTCTCGCTCTCTCGCTCTCTCTCTCTCTCTCACTCTCTCTCTCGTCGCTCACTCTCTCCTCGTCTCTCTCGCTTCTCTCACTCTCTCTCTCTCACTCACTCTCTCTCTCTCTCTCTCACTCTCGCGTCTCACTTCTCCTCGTTTCTCTCTCGCTCTCGCTCTCTCTCGCTCTCTCTCTCTCTTCTCTCTCCTCTCTCTCTCTCGTCTCTCGCTCTCTCTCTCTCTCTTCTCTCTCACTCACTCTCTCTCTCACTCACTNGTGAGTACGTACGTAGGTGCGTGCGTATGCGTGCGTGCGTACGTAGGTGCGTGCGTATGCGTGCGTGCGCACGTATGTAGGTGCGTGCGTGCATGCGTACGTCCGTAGGTGCGTGCGTGCGTGCGTGCATACGTGCGTACGTGCGTGCGTGCGCGCGTACAACATGCACGCACGCACACACACACACACACACGCATGTATACCGTGTAGCGCCATCGTGTGAGTTGTCAGACGCCAATGCAATGACGTCAGATCCTCACACGCGACAGGCGCGCTGCCGCCGCCGCCACCATTTATATTATCCGCTTCTTCCGATATTTCCGGCTCTCGCTCGCCGCGCGTCGCTTCTTTCTTCCTTCCTTAACCCGACCGTTCTCTCTCTCACTCTCTCTCTCTACTT